TTGTTGTTTGGCGGGCCCGGGCTGGGGATTCGAACCCGCCACCTTAGGTGTATGTGGCTGGCGCCTTAGCTGCTTGAGCCACAGGCGCCGAGCCAGGAGGCCAGGGTTCTATTTTGAACCTCTTGTCTTCTCTGTTTGTGATTGTTTTCTTATTGATTTCTGAGCTTTAATTACAGTCTCTAATCTGATAATTCCTAAGTTTATGTCTCCAGCCCAGACCTGTTCCTTGGTCCTCAGACTCAGACATCAGGTGACCTCCTTGACATCTCTCCTTGGATGTCTAATAAGCATCTCACATGTACATGTCCAAAATCAAGCTTTACTATTTCTTCACATCTAATCTTCTCCTAGGACTCCACCTTTTTTTTTTTTTTTGAGACAGGGTCTTACTTTGTTGCCTTCAGTAGAGTGCTGTAGCATTATAGCTCACGGCAACCTCAATCTTCTGGGCCTAAGTGATTTTCTTGCCTTAGCCTCCCAAGTAGCTGGGACTTTCGGTGCCTGCCACAACACCTGGCTAATTTTTAGAGTTGGGGTCTCGCTCAGGCTGGTCTTGAACTTCTGAGCTCAGGCATTCCACCTGCCTTGGCCTCCCAAAGTGTTAGGATTACAGGCGTGAGCCACTGTGCTCAGCTTGCTAGAACTCTGTCTTAATAAATGACAACTCACTTGTTCTAGTTGCTTAACCCTAAAACATTACCTCTTCTCTTTATCTCATTCTACATTGGGGGTTGGCAAGCTCTTTCTGTAAAAGGTCAGACGGTATAAGTATTTTTGGTTTTGTAGGTCATAAGGTAACAAGTATTCATCTCTGCTCCTATAGCACAATGCAGCTTTAGACCATGTGTAAATTAATTAAATGTGACTGTGTTCCAGTGGAACTTCACTTACAAAAACAGGTAGCAAGCCAGCATCCAGCTGGCGGGCTGGAACTTGCTTAGTCCTGCTCCCGACCCATCTGCATACTAGAAGTAGACCAGCTCCTTACCAGCTCTTATTACCTCCTCTGCTACAACCCAGATCCAAGACATGAGCATTTCTTGCCTGGATTCCTGGAATAGTCTCCCAACTGGTATCTCTGTGCCCACCCTTGGCTCACTTCAGTGTAGAGCTAGAGGGGTCCCACTAAAGCAGAGCACAGCACTGCGCAACCAGCAGGCTCATTGTGCTCTCGTCACGAATGAGCAGAAAGCCCCGGGCAGCTCTCTAAATGGCTAATTCCTGCCAGCACCCTCTGCGCTGTGAAGTCCTCATTATGTTTCTCACATAATCACCATTATCCATAGTCACAGACAGGTGGATATTACTAGCTGTGCTTTTGGGAGGTTGCAGAAGCAGATTTTCATGATTTATTAAATAAACAAGTTTAGAAAAATAGAAAACAAACCTTCCCTCAGAAGGCAGGTCACATCAGTTCTCTGTTCACTGCCCCCCTATTGGCTCCCTGCTTCACTCAGAATCAAAGTCAGCGTTCCTACCATGACCAGGGCCCTCCCAGAGTGCTAGGATTACAGGCGGGACAGCAATCACGTTTCCTTGAAATTTCTTTAAAGCTGTACATCATGTCCATGTTATTTTGTCCATTTCTCTTATAATTCATTTATTAATTCAACACTTCTTTAGTAGGTCCCTACCATGTC